TTTTTTTTTTTTTTTTTTGTTTGGGGTTTTTTTTTTTTTTTTTTTTTTTTTTTTTTTTTTTAATTTGTTTGTTTACCTTCCGGGTCCTCTCACCTACACAAATACGGCAATACGTGCAACGACCACATTTTATCCGCAGCGGGTGTCCATTCCCTTGCATGATTTTTGTACTGTTCTTTCCATTGTTTCTTTTTTTTTTTTTTTTTACTTTTTCCCTGTCTGTGTGTTGTTGTTTTTTTTTTTTTTTTGTTGTTTTTTTTTTTTTTTTGGTTAATCTACTTTTGATTTTTGTTTTGTTTTTTCGGTAATGCAAAGTGTTACTTGGAGCATTTAGTGTGGCGCCATTCTCGCTCGCTCGCTGGCTTTCACCCATTCACACTCGCTCACTCTTTTAAACTGCATTTTATTTGCACCGTTGCTGTCGTCGTCGCCTGTTGCTTTTGTTGACATGTCTCTCTTTGGCTCTTCTTTTTGGCCGGTGGTGGTGGGGGATGGAAGCATTGAGCATACAAAGAATCGTCTTCTTCTGTAACACCACACCCGAGTTTTCAAGGAAAGCAACGTCAAATAAAAACAAAACAAAATAAAAAAAAATGTCAGCTGGGGCTCCTGACACTCTCCCACTCAACCTCATGCGCAGCCGCAAGGCGGAGGAGGAGAACAAAGACGTCAGCACCACGGCGAATCGATTCCGTGAGCGGTTTGAGGGAAAAGATGCGTCCGTCAGCGGGCGCAAGGCGGAGACCACAACGATGGTGAATGAGTACTACGACATCGTGACAGACTTCTACGAGTACGGCTGGGGACAATGCTTTCACTTCGCCCCGCGCTATCTCGGCGAGTCGCTGCTTGAGTCGCTCGCCCGCCATGAGTTCTTCCTGGCGTACCAGGGACAGTTCAAGCCGACGGACACGGTGCTCGATCTGGGCTGCGGGGTGGGGGGTCCGGCGCGCAATATTGTGCGCCTTGCCGGCTGCAACGTGATGGGGGTCAACAACAATGAGTACCAGATCAGCCGAGCCCGCCGCCACGACACCAAGTACGGCATGAACAGCAAGATCAACTACACCAAGACCGACTTCTGCAACATGTGCTTTGGCGATAACGAATACGACGGTGCCTACGCCATTGAGGCCACCTGCCATGCCACGGACAAGGTGAAGTGTTTCAGCGAGGTCTTCCGTGTCATCAAGCCCGGCAGTTACTTTGTCCTGTACGAGTGGTGCATCACTGAGAAGTATGATCCAAATAATGAGGAACACCGCCGCATTCGCCACAAAATTGAGCTTGGTGACAGCCTTCCTGACCTGGAGACCAAGGGCCAGGTGATTGAGGCGCTGAAGGCATCCGGCTTCATTGTGGAGGACAGCTTCGATGTGGCTGAGCGTTTCGAGTCAAGTCCGATCCACAACCTACCATGGTACCTGACGCTGCAAGGGAACTACACGACGCTGGCAGGCCTCAAGTGCTCCCCGTTGGGCCGCTGGTTTACGAACAAAATGTGCCGCGTGTTGGAGTTTGCTGGCCTTGCACCGAGTGGCACACACAAGGGGGCGGAGATCCTTGAAGAGGCCGCAAGGAGCCTTGTGAGTGGCGGTGAGTCGGGCATCTTCACCCCGTCCTTCTTCGCGAAGGCGCGCAAGCCACTCCCTGGTGAAAAGCCGAGGAAGTAGAAGCATGCGAAGGCAAAGGAATCCATGCATGAGGGATAATATAGGAGGCCGTGTGTGTGTGCGAGGGCACGGCTAAAGTAAAAAAGAAACAACTTGTTTTGTTTTGTATGCCTTGGCAATGAGAAGACTTACAGATGGATGCAGCCAAAAGGACCTTCATGAAAATCAACAACAAGAAGTGGAAAAGAAATTTTAAAAGGGAATTAAAAAAAAAAGAAGAACTGAAGACGTGGAAAGGGAGAAACGGATGGAGGTGAGGGGAAAAGGCAACAGAACCCTGCAGCCGGCGGGTATAGGTTTGTGTATACATGTGTACATATGTAATTCAAGCGTGCACGAGGATGTGATTGTCATGGGTACGGCGAGGAGGCGGAAGTGGTTTTTGGATTCCTGCCGCCACCACCACCACCGTTCCACTTTCCTGTTGTCCCATCTTTTGTTTTTTGTTTTGTTTTTTTGTCTTTGTCTTTTGTTCCGCGAAATGACGCTTCAGTTGTTTTTGGCCGACACGTCCCTCTGCGTCTTGTGTGTCCGCGAGAACATCCCCGTTTGGCCTTTTGCTTTGCTTCTCTCCGGCCCACAGCGGGGGCCATCGCGGATTTTTTTTTTTTCTTCCACGCGGCCCGCTCCACTCCTCCCCTGTCTGCACGACGAACTGTTCGAAACGGGGGATTTGTGGCTGATGACGGGAGCGCCATGAAAACATCGTAAAAAAAAAAAAAAAAGGAGAGAGCGAGAGAAATAACAGAAAAAAAAAAAACGTAAGAAATAA